GAACAGAAACAGTATTTTTTTCTGTCACATGGCTTCACATGTATCTAAAGGTAAAAATACAATACATGAAAAAAATTGTTTTTTTGTTCGGACCTCTGCTTGGAAGAAAATATAGAGGCGGCGCCTTGGAACTTTAATGTAATACCCCTGACTTATATAATAAAGAAATACTTTATTTGGATGGTTTTGTAATGTGTCACATATTTCCTTGTGTGTCATGGTAGATCGGACTCTTATTATAGAATTTCATTACAGAAAAACTATTTTGATCATGGTAAAGGAATTAAAACTTGTTCCTCAGGATTGCACCTTTTATAATTGCCCCAGGAAAACTGGACGTGGAGGAGGACTTGCAGCTGTTTTTAAACTAAAGTTTATTAAACGTACCATTCCGACTGGTGTCTACTCAAGCTTTGAGGTACAGCTTCTTCAAATAGATTTAGTACGTCCAGTTCTCTGTGTTAATAATAAAGAAATACTTTATTTGTATGGTTTTGTAATATCTGTCACATATTTCCTTGTGTGGTAGATCAGACTCTTATTATAGAATTTAATTATAGAAAACATTGTTTTGAACATGGTAATGGATTAAAACATAGCCTATAAATAACAGGCTGGATGTACAATAACCTGACATCTTAACACCACTTTTTATTTTTTACAAAGCAGATCATAGAATATATATTTTAGCATATAAAACAGCTTCGTAAATAGGAAGAGTTCAATACATGAGGATTCTGAATGAGATTTTTTGAGCAAGCCATTAAATGACTTGAGACTCAACTCGGACTCGTGACCAAAGACTGGAGACTTGACTCAGACTCCAGCGATAAAGACTTCAGACATGACTCAGACTCCAAGTTAAAGACTTGTGAACATCTCTGCTTCAAGCTTTATATAACATATGTAATAATGTTATATAAATAATCACAAAAAATATTCCTTATACGGTGAACATTTTAATATGCCTTTAAAATGGGGTTTATGCATAACATTATGTATACCAGGATACTTAATATAAGACAAAAATAAATACAAACAAAACGGAGCAGTCTGATGCAACCCACAAGGTTTATTTAAACATTATCCAATAGTAAACTGTGGAGGACAAAATAAAAAAAAAAACATTTAAACTCCTAAAAGAACTAATTGGAGTAGTTTGATGCAACTCGTTAGGTTTAATTTAACATTGTCCAATGTTAGAGAGAGGACAAAATAAATAGAAACATTTAAACTCCATCATGGTGAAGTCTGATGTAACACATAAGGGTTAATACGGTCCAATATAAGACTGAAGAGTAAAAAAGAAATGGAAACATTTAAACCACTGAAAGAACAAAACAGTTCGGTCACGGTTATATCCACAGGCCGGGTAATAAAAAAATGCATTCTGATTATTTGCGGGTGGGTCACAGGTGGATAAAATAAATCATAAATGATGCAAATATTAACTAAATGTTTTTTTAAATACATTTTTTTCATCAGGCAGACATTTAATTTGTGTGTGTGTTCGCCTGATCGGGAAGTTGCAGTGACAGAAACGGTGACATTCCAGATAAAGTTTGAAAGGAGTAAAGCCTGTGTTAATGCTATTGAGTAGGCTAATATGGCCAAATAAGATATTTTGTTATATAAATAAATGTTAATTTAAAAGCAGCCCACGATCAACGTATTACGTTACCGTTATCCCTTACGGCTCCGACGAGGTTTTGTTCCATCCTCCACGCTATGACAACTCACAAAAGACTATTTTAGCCAAGCAGCACGGAGAGCCGCTTCAGAAACGTGCCGCGGCTGGCCGGTATAAACACAAGCACTGACTAGAGCGGCCGCGATCAGCTCTGGTGGCCGTGGAGCCGTAACGCGCCGCAGACGTGTGCAGTGAGGCGCAGATCAGCTCTAACTTCACTGAATCTGCTGTTAAAAATGAACCATCCATTCATCATATCATCATGCCAAACATACACGACAAATGAATTTTTCATTGTTTCTCGAAACGTCATAGCATTTCCACACCTGCGATGACATGACCGTGGCGCCAAATCATTTATGTCCCAACGCATCATGTACGTCGTCACACGTTGACATCATCAAATTGCGATCTGTTCGTGAGATCTGCCAAGTTAGTGAGTACCGATCGAGTCATAAAATGTGATTATCGGCCGATACCGATCTCCGGCCGATCGATCGGAGCATCCCTATGTGACACTAAAGAATAGAGTAAGGCCTGCTGAAAATTCAACTTTCCCATCACAGGAATAAATTACAATTACATGTTTTTGATTAAATAAATTAAGCCCTGATGAGCATAAGAGACTTCTTTCAAAAACATTACAAAATCTTACCAATGACTAACATATTCATATGACTATTTTCATAGTACTCCAAGGCACTTCAAAAGAATACCTACCATGCTATTCTTCTGAAGTGCCTTGGAGTACCATGAAAATGTCAAAATAATGATGCATTGTGTGATATGTTAGAGTGACAATTCAACTAAATAGATTTAATGGTGTGGCATGTCTTTTAACTCTTTCCATCATAAACGTTTTCCCCTTTCTCGGCCCTTCAGGCAGCTGTGTCAGAGATCGGTGTGAGGTGGCCCAGAGTTCAGGTGTGTTCAGGTGTGCTCTCGCTCAGGTGTCCCCCGTGCTCTGATGTAGTGCCGTTGCTATGGTTCCCCTCGGCATTGGGTTACCCTGAGCCTCTGGGGTGTGATCTACTCTACTACTCTACATGTAGAGGGAAAGAGCTGATAAAAGAGCCCACTTGACTGGCCATTCAGGACGGGTGTGCAGGACACACATGAGAGGAAGAGGCTACTGTTACACAACGCCAGATGCTGGGATAAAAACCTTGGATGCTTTTGAGAGCATTTAGACAACGCCAACAATGTGTGCGAACAGAGCGTTCTCATATTGGTGTCCAGACATTATATAAATAAATAGCAAAACAGCAAAAACACATGAACTTTTATTATCTTTGATTAAAACCATACCAAACTATTATAAACACAAGTATTCTCTCTGGACTCCAGGACTTCTGAACTCTCTGCTCACACAAGCAGGTGTAGATGTTTTTAAATCGCTCTTCTTCACAGGTGACACAAATAGGGCCTATTAGGCCCCATTAGGAGATTATGAGGTGAGAAAAGAGCAGAGACCTGTGGTGCCCCAAGGCCTCATGGAGGTGTAGAGTTTCCAGTCCACTGCTCACCCTAATGAACACACACAAACTCTTAATGCTCAGATTATGGCAGATAGTGTAGAGCCCCAGGCGAGAAAAAGGGTGGTCTGTGCGTATTTTATATCACTTGACACATCCAGGGATAAGGATGGGAAGGGTGTTTTTGTAGTTTAGTATAGTTTGAGGACAAATTTGATTTATAAAGCTAGTTAAAAAGTTTATTAATTAATTCCAAAATTATTAAGATTAAGATGAAAAAATTTTTGTTCCTAAATGTCTTATGCTCTGCAAGGCTGAATTTATTTAATCAAAAACACTGAAAGACAGTAATTTGTGAAATATTACAATTTACAGTATAACACCGTATCCTAACTACACACGACGCCGCGATAAAGGCTATCTTTTCCATGTTAATCGGAGGTTTTGTCCTAACTAGCCGCGAAAAACGGGTTCTAATTCCGCGACGTCACGGCTAGAACAACAACATACAAAATATAAAACGGTGATAATCTCAGGTACTGATTGTGTGCTTTATTCAAAGTTAAATGTATCTAATGTGAGTTTGAATGCCATATTGCGTAGCATTTATAGCCATACTGAAAGCAACAACAGATAGTTTACCTCAGATCTTGAAAATAAATAAAAGCAAAGATGTACGTTAAAACTGTGAACTCGCTGCGAACCAACAAGCGTATTCCATAACAAAGATGGTATCAGCAACCCAGTATGTACATTTAATAATGTTACAAAGGTTTAATATTTATGAATTAGATTATAAATTATCCATTTCGTTGTGAGTGCAGAGCTCTTCCAGAGAGAGCCCGCCCACACACGCTTCTGATTGGCTGTGATATTTGATTGATTCTGTGGCGTCGCATCAAGTGTGGACACCCAAATTGCTTATCGCTAGAATCTTGTCGCGTCGCATGTAGTTAGGACACCTAACAAGTGCAAGAGCCACTTTCTATTTAAATATGTTTTAAAATGTAATTTATTCCTGTGATGCAAAGCTGAATTTTCAGCATTACTCCAGTCTTCAGTGTCATCAAATCACTCCAACACTACATTCACACTGCAGCAGAATATGGTATACTCGAGAGTTACTCTGTGCTACACATGTCCAAGCGCGTGTTGTGGGTTTTCATGTGTAGTTTGTGCATGATGACAAATGTGACCCTGGACCACGAAACCAGTCATAAGGGTCAATTTTTTGAAATTGAGATTTATACGTTATCTGAAACTATTGCTACAAATATACCTGTGCTACTTATGACTGGTTTTGTGGTCCAGGGTCACAAATGTGACAAATTGTCCATTCTCACTTTTTGTGTCAAATGTGGCAATACTCTTCAGATTTATGAATGTTTTTACTTTAATTACTGTCGCTACTGTTACAGGTGATAGACACAAACAGAATGATCTTGACTCCTTTTGCACATTCATACAGTAGTTGAGCTGCTATTGTAAGCTGCTATGTGAATAAGACACTTTGAGGCCTGCAAGTAAATGTGGCTGTCAAAATCTCAAACGCTGAGAGTGTGAACATAGACTAACATGCAGATTTAGTGCTCAAATTATCAGTGTCGAAAACTGTTGTGCAGCTTATTATTTTGGTGTAAACCGTGATACTTTTTTTTTTTTTTCAGGATTCTTTGATAGAAAGAAAGTTAAGATAGAACATTTTTGTAACATTAGAAATGTCTCTGCTGTCACTTCTGATCAATTAAAAAAAATTCTTAAAAAAGCAAAAAACAGTAGTGTAAATAAGCAAAACTTTGTTGTTACCCAAAACGTGTTTGTACTGTATGTCTTACCTCTCCTGACATATCCGGGGCCAGAGGAATCAGGGGCCATATTGAGGAGTAGATGCCAAAAAAGACTACCCACAATCCAATGCTGCCCCAGATGGCAATGTGGCTGAACTATAAGCCAGAAAAGATTAGAGAACACACACAGTGAGTTGAGTAGAGACGTCATTCTGCTGATAATACTTGGCAGCCTGACACTCAAACAGCACAAAACCTCATCTGAAAGATGTAATATAATTTTAGACTAGTGACATTCATAACAACAACCCTTAACACACATGAATTTTACATGAACACATGCTAAATCACAAGTTTGCACATATGGGAGCATGTTACACCCATGTGTTTTTGTTTAATCACATGATCATCAAGCATTTGAGGCTTGAAATTTGCAAAAGTGAAACATTGGAACCACATGTGAATGTTCCAAAACTACATGAACATAATGTGATTTTGTGAAAATTATACTTGCAAAATACAGTGCAGTGAAAAAGAGTGAATTTTTTTAAACGCATGTCAAATTTTACTATGGCATAAGTATATACAGTAGCATACATTCACACTAATAGTCAAATGTTTGGAATAATTAAGATTTTACAGTTTTTGAAAGAAGTTTCTTATGCTCACCAAGGCTGCACTTATTTGATTAAAAATACAGTAATAGTGTGAAATATTATTAGTTTAAAAGAACTGTTTCCTGTTTGAACATTTTAAAATGTAATTTATTCCTGTGATGGCAAAGTTGACTTTTAAATTATTACATTTTAAAATTAAAACTTCAAGAGAAAACAGTTCTTTTAAATTTAAATAATATTTCACAATATTACTATTTTGACTGCACTTTGATTTAAAGGGGTCATATGATGCGATTTCAATTTTTCCTTTCTCTTTGGAGTGTTACAAGCTCTTGGTGCATAAAGAAGATCTGTAAAGTTGCAAAGACTAAAGTCTCAAATCCAAAGAGATATTCTTTATAAAAGTTAAGAGTCAACCACGCCTACCTAAAACGGCTCGTTCTAACAAGCCCCCACAAGTCTATGTCACGATGTGGGAAGATTTGCATAACACCGCCCAAATGTTCACGCAAAGAAAGAAGGTGTAACTTTTATTCTCGCTGTAGTATTGTTGCTGCCGCCGCCGCCGCCATGTTGTGAAGGCGCTGTGTGTTTCGTTGTGAAAGCCATACTATTTTGTTTGGCCTTCCAAAAGAGGACGATATCGCTTCGTCATGCCTGGAGCTGATCCGTGCTGGCTGCTGAGGAAATAC